AAGGCCTTTAAGATCATTTATTCCCACCCCCCCTGCCATGAGCAGGGACACCTCACACCAAACCATGTTGCCCGAGGCTCTGTCCAGCCTGGCCTTGAACACCTCCAGGGTTGAAGCATTCACAACTTCCTTGGGCAACCTATTCCAGTGCCTCACCACCCTCACTGTGAAGAACTTCTTCCTTATATCTAACCTAAACTTCCCCTGTTTAAGTTTAAACCCATTACCCCTTGTCCTACCACTAGAGTCCCTAATGAAGAGTCCCTCCCCAGCATCCTTGTAGGCCCCCTTCAGATACTGGAAGGCTGCTATAAGGTCTCCACGCAGCCTTCTCTTCTCCAGGCTGAACAGCCCCAACTGTCTCAGCCTATCTTCATACGGGAGGTGCTCCAGTCCTCTTATCATCCTCGTGGCCTCCTCTGGACTTGCTCCAGCAGCTCCATGTCCTTTTTATGTGGAGGACACCAGAACTGGACACAATACTCCAAGTGAGGTCTCACAAGAGCAGAGTAGAGGGGCAGGATCACCTCCTTTGACCTGCTGATCATGCTTCTTTTGATACAGCCACTGTCATTTATTATAGCCTGTATAGAATTAAAACCTCACCATCCAAGTCACTTGTTTGTGAAAGTGGTTCAGAGGGAACACACTTACACCTGTAGCCCTCCACACAAAACATGCAAGACTATCATACAACCTCTGTATCCATGGAAAAGCACACATTTCTGGCAATTTATAAAGCATGGAGATACTTAGCAGAGAGAAATTCTGACATACTTTCCTCATCTGGTCCTTGTCCAAGTCAGGATGTCAGAGAGATGCTACATTCCTATAACGTTATTTATTTTGAGCCTGAACCTTGCCTTATGTACTTGCCTGTTACTAAATGTGTCCAGCACAAACACACCAAGTAGTCTGTGCTCCAGATTCAAGTGGGGTCACAGCAAAGTACATTTTGCTTGATTTTCAGCTTCCAGTTTTGTGTGCTGCTAGAATATAAAGTAGGAAAACCTGGGAAATGTATGTACTTATGTTTGTTCAAAAATAAAACCCCCAAACCACAAAACCCCCAACACACACAGAGGATGAAGAGGTTCTGAACGCAGTGTGCTGGAGCTGCCTGGAGAGCAGGGGCCATGGAAGCACTGAAATCCTCTGCCCACCAAGCCAAGGCACTGCTTTTACCTTGTTGCTATGACCTGAGGGATCAGCAAGGGATGTTCCTGCTTTAAAGGACATAACTTGACAGCTCCAGGCTTGCCAGTACATAAAATGATGCCCTTGGAACACACACTGAGTGTTCTGGTACAGCCTACTCAGCAAAGAGCTAAATAACATGAAATTTACAGACAGAACAGCAGTTTGTGAGTTTAATGCCCCTGTAAATAATGACCGCTAGTTGTTGAAGGAGTTTAATATCAGGTCTTGTTTACTTCTTTGTTAACAGCAGATAAAAGTGAGCCCTGCAATACTCACCATGACTTTGTACTAATACTGCTAAGAAGTCCTGAACAGCATGAAGTTTGTTTTAAAACTGGGAAAAGCAGTCTTCCCTTAGAGGGGCATGCACTAAGAGTTGGGGTTGTTCAGCCTGTAGAAGAGAGGGCTCCAGTGAGACCTTAGAGCAGCTTCCAGTGCCTAAAGGGCTGACAAGAAACCTGGAGAGGGGCTTTTGACAAGGGCATGTAGGGACAGGACAAGGGGAATGGCTTTAACCTGACAGAGGGAGATTTAGATTAGATAGTAGGAAGAAACTCTTCACTATGAGGGTGGTGAGGTGGTGAGGTGCTGGCACAGGTTGCCCAGAGAAGTTGTGGATGCCCAGAGTTCCAACCCCCTTCCAGGAGCAGGGACGCCTTCCACTAGAGCAGATTGCTCCAAGCCCCTGTGTCCAACCTGGCCTTGAACACTGCCAGGGATGGGGCATCACCACCCCCACAGTGAAGAAGTTTTCAGCTCTGATAGATTTTGGACTATCTTGATACAAACACATAATAATTACTCAGAATAATGACTCATAATGGCAAACAATGCTGGAAAGCTCCAATTTACTGCTTATGGTGGATGTGCTCAGTATTATAGACTGATGGCTCACAGCATCAACACACACACAACATCAGAGCATGTTGGTCGCAACACTGTATCTGATAGGTGAAGGTTTTTGGACTCATCCTGTTACTGGGATATAGACCTAAATAAAAGATTACTAGCTACAAGAAGGCAAAAAACCCATTGGCAATACCATTGATCTTTCAGGCAAAGAAAAAACACTGGACATGCAAGAGGGCAAACTACATCTTTGCTGTATCTACAATATCCAAGAGCAGCGCTGTACACACAGCTCAGGGCACACTCCTCTTTTTCACGCATACCCTTGCAAGCTTTTCAAATGGGAAGATGGGCTTTCAGCAGTGATTTAACAGAAGCAGGACCTCAGCAAAGCAGGAAGGCTCCAGAAATCCATGCTGTCACTTGGGCTGACTTGCCAGATGAAGGGGCTGACAGCGTTGGCAAGAATATATCAACACGATACTCGCTGTATGTGAACCTGGTGCTGAACAGGAGGTTTTCGTCCCATAGCTGTAATACTCCATCTTCACATGCCATATGGCTTAACAGTTCCTCATTACCAAGGGGCACTTTTCTATGTGCACATCTGTTTATGTGCAGTACTGAATAATCAGAAGCATAAAAATTAATCGGAGCAGCACATATCCTGCATTATAAAGAGGTACATACAAAATCCTGCTAGGAATGCTAAGGGAAAGAACAAAGCACTGTATTTTACCCTCTCTTAACTTCCCTTCAAAGACAGATCCTAAATGCAGGTCTACTAGAAAGATGACCTAGAGGCAGGTTGTGCAGAACACCCACTCTTATTAAAAAAACAAGCCTACCCACTTGAATGGAGATTTGATTCTTTCTGCTGGAGACTCCAAAGAACTGTACCCAACTCCAGATCTGCATTAGTGCCCTGTGTCTCAACCATCCTTTGATGCCAAAACAGACACTGATGAGACGTGGAAGAGTCACAAGGTTTGCAGCTGGAAATCGCCCCCACTACAGCAGTTCATCTTAATGACCATCTAATGACCATCTATGCTCCTGCCAGAATGCTTGTCTAGCTGCTGGTGGTGGTTGCTTTGCCATATCCCTCTGGACCTGGATCACATCCCACTGCTAGTTTGGCCACAGGCACAGCTGCTGTCTCTACACTGAAGTAGTTTCCCATGTCAGAGTTGTCAGGCCAAAGACTGAAGGGGGAGAGGGTTGGCTGTGACATTCTACCACATGCACTGATGCTGTAACACATGAAACGCCATCAGAAACAGCCATTAAGCTCTGCTAAGTGATCAGTGAGTGCTGGAAATACCACCTGGAGGAGCTTTTCAAAGGGGAAATCTCATTTCTAACTACTGTCAGTTGCCCTTCATCAATACTATTTCCTTCACAAATTTCAGGATGTAAGATACAGAGTTAGAGAAGGACAAAACTGCTCCTGGGTTCTCTGGAGATGTGCTGGGTGGTGGGGAGGAATGAGGCTTGGGTTTCTGTGTGGGAGCAGTACCTGCAGCCTTGCCTGGTTTAGGGTGGAGAGTTCTGGGGCTAAGCCAGGAAACAGAGCTCCTCTCTGCAAGAGAGAGTCAGGGACTGAAATCAGGCACTGGCCTCATGGGTAGCATGAAGCTGAAGCTCAGACAATGCCAGTATTCCCATAGCACAATGGCCATCCCATCACACAGCACAGTGACAGGATGGACAGTGCAAGTATCAGAACATAAAATTCAACAGATGCCTTCCCCATACCTTCTAAAGGAAAACAAGATGATCAGCTGGAAATAGGAAGCTAATAAAAATGTGAATAAACCATACACTGTCACTCTAAGCATACTCCAAAAAAGCACTGCAGGTCCTCTCCCAGCACCAGCTGGATGTAAGAGGTACAGATGAGGCCAGACATAGCTCCACAGGGACCAAGGGCATCACTGCCCTGCCCCACAGGCCACCCCTATATGTCCCAGGCACTGGGCTGCAGTGTGTTCCGTCTAGAGATCCCTGTCCTATCCCAGTCCTCACCCGGTTAAGCAAGACCGTGGTGGAAGTCCAGCTCTGAAGATGCTCAGCTCTCAAACCCATGTATGAGAAGAAACCATCTAAAATGGGAGAGTTTACATAGTTTTGGAGCAGACCCAAAGCCTCTTTGCCCTGAGCTGTGGGGAGGTGAGAGGGAGAGATGAGGGGTACACGAATAACCCTGCGGGAAGTATTTGCTGCATGAGTAATGCTGGCCAAATCGCTGCTTCATTCCACGAAAACCAGATGGGGACAAACAATTAAAGGGAAACTCAAAGTTTATCAGGGGGTGAAGAGTATGGAATAGAAGCCATGAAACATTTCAGAAATCATAAGCTGAAAACTGGGTTACAGCACGGACCGCAAAGTTAAAACAATACACCCATGGAACTTCTTTGTATTTAAACAAAGAAGTTCTGTTTATATGAAGATGTTTAACAAGTAACCTTTAAGCAGATAAACATA